TGTCCTGGTGGCTCTCTGATCCATACATTTCCTTGCAAACCCAAGTGTAAGATGAGAGAGAGGGACCATTCTCCCTCTCCTAGCACCTTGGACACATGCTCTCAGTATTACAGGGAGGTTATACTGAGACATGCTCTTTGGACTTCTCCCTCACCATGAAGTTCTTCTAAGAGGTCACTTATGGCCATCAGACACCACGGACAGTATGGCACAAGTGGCATTGTCTGTTCATCGAGCCAAGAGGCAATCCACTGAGAGGCCTCTTGCAAAGCTCATCTTCTCCAGAGTACCTGGAAGAAATACTCACCTCATCACCTAAGCCTGCCTTTTCCTCCACTGACAAATCTGGAGGATGATCCTTGGAGTGTGAAGAAAAGGAGGAGGAATTAGAGAACCCAGAAGATGCATGTGGTGCAACAAAGGCTGAAGCCATCCTCTCTCACCTCCCCAGAGGGAAGTGAGACTGTGCCCTCACTCGGAGAGGTGGAGACTGAACAGCTCCAGGAGTTGCAGAGACCCCTGACAGTCCAGGGTGGGCAGTGAGAGGGAAGTCACACAAGCTCTTTGGGATCGGAGAGCAGAGAAGACTATTCTTCCTGTACACAAATGGCTCTTAAAGCCAGCAAAAGGCCTCTGGCTCAGGCCGGCCTCACTTCCTGCTCTGGCAGAGAGACATGGCCACCTTTACTGAACAACACAGCAGAGATAGGGTATTTCATCAGCTGGAGCTAGGCTACGTATGTTAGACAGTGAGAAGGCACTGTGTCATCACCTGGGGAGGACAAAACTCTTTTGCAACTCTTCAGAGTTATTTGTGATATTCAGAGACAAGTGTAAGGGAAAACCAGTTTCTGTTCAGAGAGTGTATAAACAGATTAGGCTCTGGAGTCAGTCCTGACCAAGCACGTGTCCCAGTGCCAGATGGCTTAGAGGCCCTCAAAGCAGTTCACACAGCGAGTTTGGGGGATGTCTCCATCTCTGAACTCTGGGAAGTCACTCTGTTGCGCTCCATTCATAACATCACACAACATGACTGTCTTGACTTAGGGGCCAAACATGGTGCTAATTTTAGGAGAACAGTCCTTTGACCTTTCTTTAACCAAGGACTCCTCAACCCTCCTCTAAGGGGTTCTTACTGCTAGTCAGTCTCCCAAGCATGGGGATATGCAGAGGCAATTCTGGGTGAGAAAGAAAATATACTTATCTGTAACTACAGTGTTGCCCCTGCAAATTCACACTGAACCAACCTCCTTCCCATACACAGCATTCTGAATTTGTGGGAAGAACTGAGGGTGGTCAGATGTGCAGTCCTTGCATTACTTCACACCGAGCCTTGAGCTCCACAGGTAGGTGTATGTGTGGGACCATCCATCTCTGCTTTCTAGGTGCTATCTGGGCTCATGGCCCTAAGGCATATGCACCCCCAAAGGTGTGGCTCTGCAGAGGCAATGCACACTCAGAACGCCACTCACAGGTGAGTAATCTTACTTTATTAAATCTGACCTGGGTCATCCATCCATTATGTGTTTCCATCCCATCGTTGTCACCCATTCTAAGCCTAACAGCAGGGCAAAGCCTTCACCTGCTTTCACCCAAGCCCCTGAAAAGCTGGGCCTGGAACTTTGGCACATGTGCCTACTCGTTGCAGGTCTGTAGGTTGAAAAGTCATGGCAAGACTTAGACAACTCAATCTCCTCACTGACTTTGTCCTAGTCGCCCAGCCAGAGATAACCCTTTTCTCTCTACAGCCCATATGCTTTGTGAAATGTCTTGCTCATATGCTGCATGTGAAACAGGGGGGTCTGCCCTCTGCCTGAGAGAGACATACCTAGAGCCTTAACTGGGGCCTAGTTAAACAGAACAGATTGCAACTATCCTGGGTGCAGGGGGACTGGAACAATTTGTATGGGGGGGGGGGTGCTGAGAGCCATGGAACCAAACTGTAAACCCTGTATGTGATGGAAACCACTTCAAGCCAGCGGTTACAGCAGCACCCCCAGCACCCCTAGTTCCCGCACCTGTGCCTGGGTGTATAAAGTAGGAAACTGTGGCCTGAAGAAATAGATCACAGCATTCAGTGTTCCACCTTGCACCTGGCTGCTTGCATCTAGGAGCTTGGCATGCCAGGCCCTGAACACCCTGGTCTTCACTTCTGGGTTAAGAGGAGAGCAGTGGTGAGACTGCGTAGAACTGATTTTCCATAGGAGTGAGTGGACTGTTCAAAGACAGCCATTCCTGACGGTACTGTTCAGTCTAGCACAGCAGCGAGGAGAAGTCTCTCTGAAGACGGGGCAGTTTCTCCATAAACACTTTGTCAAGTGTTTAGCAAAATTTCCTGGAAGAAAAGAGCCAGAAGGTAAAATCTTGGTCTTCCTTCACCACACACTTAGTATACGTGACTCATATAACCTAATCTTCCTTTCATTCATAGAAATAGGTGAATAAGTTCCATTTTTCCTTTAACATGCAGCTATTTAAGCTGAGAAGCAGTGTCTCTAATGGCTAGAGGGAATGGGTTTGGAGCTAGGATCCCCAGGTTCTAGTCCCAGCGCTGATTCACTGTGTGATCTTGGGCAATTCACTTGCCACCTTTATGCCTCAGTTTCCCCCTAAATGGGCAGAGCAAAGCAATTAATGCAAAAAAAAAGGGAAAGAATGAAAGAAGTTGTTCATCATGGTGAATTTCAAAGTCACATACGTGAGTATTTGCAGCTGCCAAATTTGAAATTTGCACACCCAGATTTTCCAGTTGGATGTGTTTGCTGGCTCACATCCAGTCAGGGAAGAGAAATTATACTAGGTAGCTTATGTAACCAATCACAAATGAGCATCCGTTAGCTCTGAGAATGGGGACATTCATACTCACCTTACCCTGGGTCTCTTGCGAGTGATGTGACATTAACGTGTAAAGCATTGTGAGATTCACCAAGGGGAAGGTGCTAGAGGAGATCAAAGCATTATTACACATGACCTCAAAGGATCACTTTCTGTTCTTGATCAACCAAAAATGAAAATGAAAAACTCCATCAAACCAATTCATCTTTTCTTTATGTTTTGTTTCCTCCAACCCAACCACTACTGTACCTAACCAGACCAGGCCAATCATTGCTCCAAGATGGCCCCCCAGTTGCCTAGCAACCCTCTAGCTGTTGTGGGAGTCCCAAACCAAAACTATCTCTCCCAAATAAACCGAAACTGTAAGTGACTAACTCATGTTGTCATCGTCCTCTGCGATGACGCCATGTGGCCGGTTGTAATCTCGTTGCATGATTTGACGTTGAGTTTTCTATATCTCTATTTCTATATCTTTATTTTTTCTGTATTGGTGCTTTTCTTTTGGCGATTGTGAAGTGCCGTAGTGAAGCCCCTGGTGGATAGTTTTTGGAGTGCTGATTGGTCAGTCTTGATTAGTTGTGAACTTTGACTCCCCACCCCCCCAAACTCCACCGTCTCCTCTGCCCTCTCTTCTTTTCTCTTTGTTGTAACGTAACAATCTGTGTTTGTGTTTCACCTGCATTCACTATATGGCCATAATGACTGGGGAAATTTATTGTTAAGGAATCACTCTTGGTTCCAATATTATTTCTGAAAAAAGGGGGTTTCACTTAATTTCGGTTGAAACAAGAAATGAAGGGTTTTATTTCGTATTCTTTTCCCTTTTGTTATTTTCTATATATAGTCTCAAAAACTTGGTAGTGCATGCAGAAAAGCACTTGGGAATACCACGAACGTTGATCCTTCAGCAGTATGGTTTGCGGATTCTGAGTTGGAACTGAAGTCTTGTATTTCTTTGCTGAATATTCCTTCTCATCCCATCCAAAAGGGAATTCAGAGTAGAATAGCAGAAAGTGAGGCTGGAGCAGGAGAGAGTGAGTTATGAGCAAAGACTGAGGTGGGATTTACAAAAGAATATACGGTAGTTAGGTGCTCAGGTCCCATTCCCTAACACAGGAGGACTAATAACTCACCTCTGGTTCAGCCAGTGCAGTTCTGTCCCGTTAGCACATCAGATCTCCATACAGACCCTTTCACTTTCATAAGAGGAGACAGAGCGGGCAGTCTTTGTGATTCCTCAGAGCTAGGAAGCCAGTATTCGCAGTAACAAAATGAGCCAAATGAGATTGCAAAGGAATCTAGGGCAAAATTATCAGCTGATGTAATTGCTTTGACCTCAGAGGAGTTATACCACCAGAGAGTTTGGCCTCTAACATTCTCACTGCTGAACATTTTGCAGAGACTTTAAATAAGAAGTGTCGTCTCCTTAAACAATGGACTGGTTATTTTTGTGGGGGGGGGGGGTGATGAACCAGCTGAAGGGCACATGAATCTCACTAGTGCTCCTCCATACCACTTAACCAGCTAGTAGAATCCTGTGAAATTTAGAGGTGCCCTTGCCTTTTTACATTTGAGAACTTAGCCTCAAGTCTAGCCTCAGTTCCAAGTGAAAATGTGTTTAGTGGATCTAAATGTAGTTCCTACTGGACATTTCTCCAAATTGCAAAACCACTGTACTATTTAACATAAAGGTAGTCTGGGCTGAAAAGCACCCAGTACTGGAATAGCAGGGTCAGCTACAGGTCAGGATTGAGGTGCACTGGCAAAGTTGTGCGGGGGCCCAGGACTGAAGTAAGTCAGGACTGAGATGCATTCATTGGCAGATCTGTGTGGATAGTCCAGGACTAAAATAGCAGGGGTGCTACAGGTCAGGTTTGAGGGTCATTGGTAGAGCTACCCAAGACTGGAATAAGAGCGTGTGCTTAAGTTGAGGATGGAGGCACGTTGGCAAAGCTGGGATGGTGATGGAGCTGCAGGACAGAGTTGAGGTGCCTTGGCAGAGGTGGGTAAAAAAAGGGAACTTGCATTGTTCTGTTTCCTCTGTTTCCCAAGCACTAAAACTCACCCAACATTAAAGCCGTTCTCAGGGGGCTCTCATGCATTGTACATTGCAATGGGCCTTGCAAATCCTGGAGCCTTGTAATGTGCCCTTTGTTGTCTTGCAGGTTGGATGCCCTGCAGCGTATGAAGAGTATTAACCCTTTTCCCAAGTGCAGTATCCAAACTTGTAACTCTCTTTCTTTGCAACATATCATGGAAGAGGCGGAAGCGAAGGAGGAGAAGAAATGCTGGCGAAAAAGAGAGCCATCGTGGTTGTATCTTCTTTTTCTTTTTTAATTTTTGAATCAGTTTTGTTTGTTTCTTAACAAGAAAGAAAAAGACACAGTGATGTTGGAGAAAAGACAAACAGGTGCAGATATTTGCTGAGTCAGACTATGAAATGGTGGCTGCTGGAGAAGACTTTGAATTCCTCGCAAGGAGAGAGGTGGGATTCTTGGAAGGAAAAACAAACCAACCTAGGATTCAGAGCTAGGACAGGTCATTCATGAGGATGAACCCTACCTTTTTAAAGCACTCATTTGCTGCTACAAGTTTCAAAGGAGGAACTAGGAAAGAGGATCCAAATGGATATAAACCAAAGCCAGTGGGATTGGACCAGGCGTGTATGTTTCACCTGGATAACGTTTTGTTTTAAAAGGGAAAGAGAAATTGATTTTTTTCCATATCTGGCTGGAAAAAAAAAATCAAAGGCTAAGCGCATGTTGGACTTATAGAAGAGATATATAAATATGTTTATATATATATATATATACATATATATATATGTATATATATATACACACATACACACACCATGGAGCAGGGCAGAGGGATGTGCCCCCTCCTTGCTTGTCACTGGCACAGGGACATAGGATTTACTTCTTTCAAAGTCATATCATTCCTTAGAGTTTAGGGACCAAAGGACTACTGCTTTTTTAAAAATATATATAAATAAATTAATTTAACAAAAAAACAAAGAAAAAAGGTAGACGTATCACATAACAGCTGCGAGCGTTTCAAAAAGAAACACAAATAGAGGGAAACTAGAAAGAGCTTTGTTTACCGTGTCGTGTGTTCCAGTGGCCCAGCGACTCCATAGGCTGTAGGAGCCCAAGGGACCGGAAAGCAGGGAAGTTTTTCCAAGGCTATGGAAAGTGAAATCGTGGCATTTCTGTCATGGCAACTTCTTCTCGCACCTCTGTCCCACCCCAGACGAAAACATAGAAATGAAGATTTTGGCTGGTAAGTAGAGCTGGTTGAAAGATCCAATTTTGCCTCCACCGAGAACATGGAAGAAATCATTCCATTTGAAATTGTTAAGGAAGATTTGGGTTTTCTCAAAGGAAAATTTTTAAAGAAAGCGAAGATGTTTGTTTCAAAGGGAAATTTTCATTTTGTTTTGAGTTCTTGAGAAATTGAAAATTCCATCCAAATTGGCCTGTTTTCACTACACATTTCAATTTTGATTAAACTCCCTTTGTGACAAAAACCGATTTTGGTTGAGAAATGTCAACCAGCTCTACTGCTGAGACAATTATGAGAAATGTGTTGCAACCTTCACTAGCTCCTGAGATATATATGATCTCCTCGGCCTCTCCTTTACACTGTGTGCGAGAGGTGAATTGGGGCCATAACGTTGTACATCCAAATCCAACTCTGTTACACCAGTGCATCCCTTGCTGAGGTCGCTGCATTACCTGGGCATAGCCGATCAGAATTTGGTTCGTGGGTTGCAGATATATTAACATATGATACCTGATGCTTCAGCATAAGACTATATCAGACTGTGCCAAATATGTATGTGGAGCACACATCCCCTCCAGGTGCTTACATGTTTCATTGTGAAAACAAAAGATTTTCTTTCCCACACACCCTTCACCACCTCTCACATTTCCTATCAGCAGGGCAGATTTGCTCAAGGTCAGATATTTGCATCATGGTATAAATCTTCCCCACCAGCTGATCTCACTGATCGCTGCATGCGTCCAAAGGTAAAATTCAAGCCAGGAGAGGCAGTGCGGGAGGCTGTTATTAACTATAGTGGACCAGACTCTGCACTGATTTATATTCCCTGCAATCCCAGTGGAGTCAATTTGATTGTATGGGGCATCCATCAGTACAAAGTTTGGTCCATTAAGTTTAAACAAGGGCTGAATTCATCCCTGAGGTATCATATAATCATAGAAACGTAGGGCTGGAAGGGACCTCAAGACATTATCAAGTCCAGCTCTCCCTCATGAAAGCAAACCTTCATCTTTCCCCACCTCCAGGCCCAGAATAAAAAAAACTAGCAACTTGGTCATATACAAAAAATAAAACAAGAGAGAGAGCAAACGTCTGAGAGACCAGCAGCCTCTGGGAGAGGTCAGATTTTACATGTCATGGAGATTTATAGTCATAGCATGAAAACTTGATTGCACTGGAATCAGGTGTTTCGCCATTGACTTCAATGGGGTCAGGATTTCACCTGTGGATTGGAAAGCCAGAAGGGACTGCATAACTGCATCGAACACAATAATTTTGCAGAATGGTAGAAGCAGATATCCCCTGCCATCCATAAATACATATATACCAGTGGGCTCTTGTCTCACCTGTCCCTTTACTTCTTGTCTTTGATGTTCTCCAGGGTGGCTGAAGCTTTGCTCCCCTCCTCGCAACCATTGGAAAGGCCTTGCCTTCAAGTCTGAGAGGATGTGCAGTCATGGCCCTTTAAAACTCCCCCTGTCCTGCAGGGAGGGAGTGTCCTTTTTGACAGGAACTCATTGTTATTCAATGGAATTCACCCTGCAGAGCAGAAACCCCCAGATAGGACAGATGGGACCTTAAATGAGCTGGACTATATCTCCTGTGGGATCTTAAAGGAGCAGGCCTGTAGCACTTTGTTTTAAATTTCTTCACACATCTATCACTTCTCTTTTCTTAGTTTCTGTCACAACTCGTGTTTTCCACGGGCAGCAGGCTGTGCTTCCCCCAGTGCCTGAACCTGTCACCTTGCAAGCAGTTGGAAGGAATCATCATAAGGCTTACAAAAATAGAAGGGAGTGATTCAGGATCTAAAACCATGCCCCTGAATTGTGCTCCAGAGTCAACTCAAGGGAGAGGAGGGCATTTCTGAAGCCTCAAAATGAGCACCTTCCTCAGATGTCTCCATCCCTGACTCCACGATGCTTTCACACTCATAGTAGCTATAAGCATGCCAATGCATGGACCACCTTCTGTTCCCTGCAAGCATTACCCAGGAGCGTTACCTAGAAGAGTATTCCTTGACATGCAGTGTTCCATCCATTGTCATTACCTATAGGGCTTGGACTTATAAGGAGCTCTTTGATCCAGATCCACATAACCAACTGAAACGCCACAGGATCCATTATGCACCAGCCAAATGCTGGGTGTTGAAATGGTCACAGACCTGCTCATTTTATACTACCAGTGCATTTACTTGGATTCACTGCTGCTCTGCTGGGCTAGGTTTATGGTTTAAGTAGGTGTTAATTATCATGCTGTGTATGGGAGATCCTGCTGCCTTTGACCTGTTTAGAACTAAATTAGACTCTATTTCAAACTAAAATTGTTTGCAGCTAGGCAGGAAGGAAGAGGGGCGTAAGGAATGGTGCTGTACACGCACTGCATGGTTAGAGCAGAGGACTGGGAGTTGGGACTCATGGCCTTTATTCCTGACATTGCTGCAGATTCACTGGATGGGATAAAAGCTCTGTTTAAAGTCACTGTCCTCGCTCTGCCTCAGTTTTAAAACAGGAATAATAATAGTGCCCTAACTCACAAGACACATTGTGAGGCACGTTTAATCGATGTTTGCAAAGTGTTTTGAGATCTTTGCATGCAACGCACTGTAGAAGTGAAAAATATTATGTCTGTATAGCGGTCAGATACTGAATTGCCAGCCCTAAAGTACATCACTCAGAGCCTTTCAAGAAAACCCTTCTACTCCAACAGTACTAACTAAGCCAGGGCCTGATCCTATGCTATTGGAGCAGGATCCATCCATCCCATTGCAGCTTTGCCACTGACTTCAGCATGTACTGAATCAGACTCCCACCACAGGCTGCCCCCGAGCCTCAGCCGCTCTTTGCCCCGCTGAATGTACAAAGAAAAGAAGTAGCTGGCACCAGGCACGGCTCTCACAATGCTAGTGGGGGTAGAAAGAAGCCCATACTGTTGAGCATTCAGGGGACAAGGGAGCTGGTTGACTAAAGGTTTGTGGAAGCAATCTAACCAAAGAGCTTCTAAAGCAAGTATGTAGAGCCAGGCCACTCATAAAGCCTAGCTGTTGTTTAGTGCTAAATGCCATGCTACTGAGGGTAAATGTGGTCAGAAATTCTGTATTTCTAAGACTAGGGGTTGTCTCCAAACCCTCCTTGTTTTTTGCATCTCTCGAGCCATCTCCTGCCTTACAGTCCCAGGCTCTGAGAGTCATATTTGAGTCACAGCATTGATGAGCATACACCAACATACTCCACAGCACTCGCACCTTCTTTAGCCTCTCTGGTGCCTGCAGATACCCCACAAGGGAGGTGGGCTCTGTGTCTCTTGAGCAATATTAACCAAGGGCCAGATCCTGCTCTCAGTTGCACTGGTGTAACTTCACCCACATTTGTTCTTCAGTACCTAGTGACCAGTCACTTTACGACATGACTTTTGTGGGTACTGGTTGGCCATGAATGGGTTGCCCAAAGCCACAAGGGGAGGAGAGGAGGTCCGAGATGGAATTTAGGAAATGTCCAGCCGAACAGAATGCAGGATGGACAAGGCATGTGAAGAGACTAGATGTGTCTAGTTGCCCTTCATAGCTCACATGCCCTGGTTTGGTCGCTTGGCCACTGGACTCCTTTTTCTGTGATTCATTGTTACATTTCCTAGTGGTTTAGAACAGAATGCTTTTGTAGAACGTTAGCATTTAACGTAGGATAACTCTCCATTTGAAAACAAAAAAAAAAGACAATCGACTTTAGTGATCATGTGAAAGTGACTTTTTTTAAAAAAAAAAAATGAAAAAAAGCAACAACAACAAAAAATACATACAACAGGGGGGCTCCAATCAGCAAGTGATACTCATAGTACAACTGAACAATGTGTTCCAGGCTCTACTTCAAACAGCAGACCACTGTAGTGAATATGGGGCCTGTTAGGTGTGATAGCCCTGTTCCAGCTGCCTCCAGGAAAGTTAATGAGTGGCTCAATCCTTGTTTCCATATAAGTGACCTGAGAAATTCAGTGACCTGCTCCCAGCTGCCTAGTATCAAAGGGTGGTATGTTGAGTGCCCCGTCACTCTTTAGCTCATCCATGTCTCTTTCTGAAAGACTGAGCTTTTGATGGCTTAGCTCCAGGTATAACCTACATAAAGAAACTGCATTGCCCAGGGAAGCTACAGGCCTAAGTTTTAGAAGGCAATTTATGATCTATAATCACCTACTAAAAAAAAAAGAACGTCTTACACCAAGAACCAAGGTACATTTGGCAGGAGATCTTGTTTATTCTTAAATTATGGTGTTATCATACAGAAATATGTGTTTCCTCTTAATGGTGAAGGGCAGTTGAAAACCTTGACTCATGCAAGAAATTCACTCAGTAGAAAGAGGCCCTAATTATCCTTCAGTTTGCAATTTGTGTTGTCATTACACCTGTTCAAAGTGAGTGTAGGACACTACCAGATCAGAGTTGGTGCATCTTATATCCACTTGGTAGCAGTGAAAATAGCAACAAACGATGCAGGACATCAGAGAATTAGGTCCAGAGTCTTCTGACCCAACCATTAACTTAAACCGCCAAATTTTTGTGCTTCCTTTGTCAAATGATCCACTCCATTCCAACTGTTGGAAAAGTCTGTAAGTATTTCAAGACAGCATTCTCTTCCAGTTCCCATTTACTGCCATTTTGGTTTGGATTCGCTGCCCCAAAACGTTGGGGCCAAAAACCGATATGCAAGTAACTGAAGAAGTGATGGTGAAGGGAATAAAGGGAAGCTTTGCTGACATGTCCCACTGTTGGGATCAAACTACAGTGTAAAGCAAAGGGGTGGATGTTCTACAGATCCTGTTAAACCATACTTAGTATTACAGCTAAGAGAAGTAAAGCTAGTCTGCTACTCCCTGCCTTTAAAACTGGTCCCTCAGTCTAGAGCAAGCAAAAACAAGACTTTCATAAGACTTTCCTGGTTATCTTACTGGCTTGGACAACACCAAATAGGCATTAAGATACCATAACGATTGGCACAGCATAAGAACCTGAATAGAATAGAATAGAAATATGAAGGGGTAAGTGGCAAGCAATAAACAGGGAACCAATAGAACAAGGAGGTTTGGACAGTGGAAATGTAGGTCACTGAAATTGTACTGTACATCCCTGCCTCAGTGAGGGCTTGGGAGAAGCCATGGGTTCATGTTGTTAGTATGCTTTAAGAGCAGGGAATGAAGGATGCGTTATACAAGGAAGAGATTAGTTGGGCCCAAGACTCTTCTCTGTATCACAAAGTCCACACATTTTTGTAGACCTGGAGGCTCTGACATGGTGGACAGTCCTGGCTTGAGATGCCAATTCACCCTTTCTTGTTCATAATTTCACCAGTGGAGGAATGAAGGCTGGGATTTCCAAAGGAGCCTAAAAGAGGTAGGTGCCTAATTACCATTGACTTTTAATGGAAGTTGGGTACATAACCCCCTTTGGCTCCAGACTAAACGAGCATTCTTAAAAGGCTTAGACAGAACAGGCAAGAGCCTGCTCATGTGATTTGCCTCTTGTTCCATTTCCCATAGTTGCATAAAAGAGAAAAGGAAACAACTGAGGCCGGTAACACTAGTGGGGGATAGTGGGCTCACAGAGTAGAGAATCTGGCAATGATCTAACCTCAGCCTTGTGCTGTCTTGGCACAGTATTCACTCTCCCACCACATCTGAGTTTCAAAGATCTAGTAGATTCACTAGCAGCAGAAGAAGCTAGACAAGACCATGACCTGGCCAGGCTCCATAGTACAAAGTGTCCATGGAACATATTTGTCCCAGTTATTTGGATGAGATTTTCTTTTTCAACAAACAGATTTTGCTCACCAGCCGCTGCCCACAAACCCTGTTGGGTGATAGCTGTTGCCAGATACAAGGGATGATATTCTCCACCTCCTGTCTTAATACATCTGCCAGGTCCCAGAGCATGTTGTGTTGTAACTGAAAAAACAATTGCTTCTTATTTCTTAAAGAGCTGACCACCTTCTTGCCCAGCATAAAATATTCACTAGAGTGTGTTAACTCATAAAAGGTTGAGTGATTGGTCCATTGCCTTTTGCCTGTGGGCAGCCTTGGGCCAGATCCTCAACTGGTTTCAATATGTGTAGCTTCACTGAATTGAATTTGTTGGCTCCAACAGAGCTACATTGATTTACACCAGATGAGGATATGGCCTTGTGCATCTCTCCATTTCAAGCCTATTGTGATAATGACTTGAGCTGGCAAATTAACTGACCAAAAATGCAGAAATACCAACCGTTGCTTTCTTCTTGACAACACATGCAGTGACCAAGTGGACGTGTACCATCCCACCCACACAGAAATTCCAGCTGCAGAATTTCATCTAGTTCCTACTGGTCCAATTGGACAATGACCAGCAGGGTTTGGAGCAGAACAAGGGACCTATTAATCTGCTTGTTCCTAGGGCTACTAGTTCATGGGGCTCCTGGCACTTCAGTTGAAGGATTCGGATTGTGCTTACTGGAACTGTTACCAGGGCAAAGGTGGCCGCATTTCAATGTGGTATGAAGTGATCTCTGAATAGATAGGGCTGATTCTGGAGTTCCCACTGGTATACTGCCAGTGACTTCCCTTACTCTTACTGTCTCATTGTGATTTATCCAGGAGTGTGATCAGAATCAGGCACTATACATTTGTAAAGCACTTTGGAGTCCTTCACCATGAAAGGCACTAGTTCCAGGTACAAGGCTGACATTAACGATGGAAAGGCAGAGAGACAGTTTCAATCAGCTCATGGGCCTGGTTCATCCAGTCTCATTGCTGTACCACACATTGAACAGGGAGGGAGCGTTCCTGATCTACGCCTGCTCCAGTGTAGCACCATTATGGCGCCTACTCCTCCACCCCATTGGCATAGACTAAAAGTAACTACACTGAAGTCAACGGAATAACACTGATGTTCAACCAGTGTAAATGTGGGGAGAATCAGGCTCATAAAGGGTTAAACATAATATATATTATTAGTTGCGATTATCAATACATTTTAAGAGGCCCAATAAAGATGCCTATATCTGTGCATTCCTCTAACTTTGTGGAATCATAGAATCATAGGGTTGGAAGAGACCTCAGGAGGTCATCTAGTCCAACCCCCTGCTCAAAGCAGGACCCACCCCAACTAAATCATCCCAGCCAGGGCTTTGTCAAGCCGGGCCTTAAAAACCTCTAAGGATGGAGATTCCACCACCTCCCTAGGGAACCCATTCCAGTGCTTCACCACCCTCCTAGTGAAATAATATTTCCCAATATCCAACCTACACCTCCCCCACTGCAACTTGAGACCATTGCTCCTTGGAGTGTCATCTGCCACCACTGAGAACGGCCGAGCTCCATCCTCTTTGGAATCCCCCTTTAGGTAGCTGAAGGCTGCTATCAAATCCCCTCTCTCTTCTCTTCTGCAGACTAAACAAGCCCAGTTCCCTCAGCCTCCCCTGGTAAGCCATGTGCCCCAGCCCCCTGATCATTTTTGTTGCCCTCTGCTGGACACTCTCCAATTTGTCCACATCCCTTCTGTAGTGGGGGGACCAAAACTGGATGCAATACTCCAGATGTAGCCTCACCAGTGCCGAATAAAGGGGAATAATCACTTCCCTCGATCTGCTGGCAATGCTGCTACTAATGCAGCCCAAGATGACATTAGCCTTCTTGGCAGCAAGGGCACACTGCTGACTCATATCCAGCTTCTTGGCCACTGTAATCCCCAGGTCCTTTTCTGCAGAATTGCTGCTGAGCCAGTCCGTCCCCAGCCTGTAGCGGTGGAGCTCAGAGGCATCAGTGGAACTAGCGCCTAAAGCACTGAGGCAGGGATGGGCAGGCTACAGATGGAGATGGACTGGGAGGAATACCAAAGGGGCAGATTTGCTTCTCTCTCTTCCCAGCAGCAGCGAGTGCTTGGGACCTTTTCCCCTCTTGATGCCTGACTGCAAATAACCAGGGATGAGCCCAAGCAATCGGATCTACGTGGGCTCTTTGCCAAAGATCGGCAGTCCTAGGCCCAGCCCATCTCTATAAAACGTGAGTCTAAGTCACAAATGATGGAGCCAGCCCCTGTCTAAGAGCCTACACCCAGGGTAAGATCACAGGCCCCCAAGCAGCTTGTAACACAACTAGACTGCAATTAACAAAACGGCAGCATTTCAACAGAGGACTGGGGCAGGTTATTTTTCCGAGTGGGAGGTTTTCTCCTGGCTTCTGGAAAGGGCTGTATGACAGTGGGGCTGCGGCTCTGCTGTGTGTGCAGGGGTCTTTATTACTCTATCCTAGCCATTGCTCTAATATTGCCTTCATTTAGAAGTACAGTCACGCATGCCTGAACTTTTATCCGTGAGCCTTGGCAGACTCCCTAAGGAACATGCTTGGGGAAACAATCTGTCTGGGAGCCTCACAGTGGCTGTTGCAGGGCAAGCCCAGAATAGGTTTCTCAGTGGAGTGAGGGCAGGGATTTCGCTGTCTGATATTATTATATGTTAAAGTCACAACTGACATATGTGTGGGCCCAGGCCTGGTCCCCAAAAAAGAGGGTCTGAGCCAGATGATCAAGAGCAGTCACCTGGGAAGGGCTTCAGCAGAAAGCTTTCGGATGAACGACAGGTATGAGTCATGAGTTCAGCTAATACTATAATTCAGTAGCAATCAAGGGGGACTATCTTGGACAGCCAAGGCACACAGAACTGAGAGCCAAGCTTCACTCCTCCACAGGGCATGTATGTCTCCAGCTGATGTAACATTTCCAGGCACGGGGAAGAAGCGAGGGAAAGTGACCCCTGTGCTGGCATATGAGCCCAGCCAGCCTGCTCCCAGACTCATTTTCAGCCTGCGCACGCTCCCTGTCAGCAGCGAGGCGCATCATGCTCTCCGGCTGCGCCATCGCCCTCAGCCCCAAGAGCTGTGGGACGAGACTGTCAGCTCACCGGTTCTGCAGAGCGCAAGCAGAGGCAGAGACAGCGTCCAGCGTGGAGGTGCCAGCACCTCACCACTGGGTTTGCTCGCCCTAGTCAGGCATATCCAAAGGAATTGGACAAACTGGCAGCCAACCCAGCACGGTGACCTCACAGTCTTGGGCAGCGGGGAGCACACACCAGGTGGCACGTTGTGTAGCTCGGCTTGTGGTGAAAGGCTGGGATGAGGGGCACAAGCGCTGGCTCTTCCACAGACTCACTGGGTGGCCTCGGACACGTTATGCCACCTCCCAGGGACTCGGCTGCCCCACCTGGAGCATGAGGCTAATAATCAGGACCAAACTCATTGGGCTGGGAGGCTAAGTCCAGTCATGTCTGTAGCACGCTTGGAGACCCTCCCAGGAAAGGCAGCACCAACCTGTAAAGGCCTCATGTTACTGGGTCCTGAGCCATGCACAAGGGCCAGTGCTGGTGAAGAGAGGGCACCAGATAGCAGGTCATTTTGAGCTGTGACCCTAATGACTCATTGCAGGGCCTCTGGCTCCTCTAGGTTCATCCTCACATGAGTGTAACCCCCCAGGTTTTTGAGCCATGCAGCACAGACCCTAGCTAGAGCTAACCACCATAGAATCATAGAATACCAGGGTTGGAAGGGACCTCAGGAGGTCATCTAGTCCAACCCCCTGCTCAAAGTAGCCAGCAAACCTAGGGCTCATGTGGCAAGGGGAGGGTCCATTTTAAAGGCTATAGCGAGGGAGATGCAGAGAGATCAGGGCTGAAGGCCAACCAGAGGCCATGTGCTCTACAGGACAGTAGAGCCAGCTGCATCAGCAGTGCCAGCCCCATCCCCTTAGGGCAGGGATTTTGACTGGGCAGTCCAGGTTGCTCCCCATCACTCACAAGGAGGGCATGGCAGACTCCAGCAGAGGTAAGGGCCCTTCAGACATGAGTACATTCCTGACAGCCCGGGGCTATGCAGCGTGGCCCATGCTAGTTAAATGGGACTGCTGGCCAGTTGGGGCTGCACAGCAGTTTGAATGACTCCTGAGCCGCTCTTGCCAGCAATGTCAGGTATCAGTAAAGGGACAGGTGTGAAATGTGTAGGGAGGGGGCAGGGCCCAAGCCACTGGTACATGTTACCCTGCAGGCCTGCAATGTCAAGCAACTGATCATTTTGGGTGCCCAAAGGGAGGCTGCTTAAAAAGAAGTTTCAGAGGAGTGGTGCTCAGCACTGTCTGAAAACCAGGCCCCCTTCGGGTCTCCAAGCTGGCACCCAGGTCACTTTGGAAATCGCAGGCCTCAGTATACAGCAATACACATGCGTCAGCCTTTGTGATGCCAGCAAGTCCTGGCTGGCTTTCTCTAAGCAACCCCAAGGCTTTTTCTACATCTGGGGGTGGGGGGAGTGTTGGAAAGTGCACTGGGCCAGATCCTTCACTGGTACAAATCATCTCCATTGACTTCAACAGCCCTACCCTGATTTACACCAGACGAGGGTCTTCATGATTAGCATTGTGATAGCATTCCTCGGAGCCCTAGTCAGGGCCCAGGACCCGATCATTCCATGTGCTGTGCAACCACAGACCAAAAAGAGCTGGCCCTCTGCCCATGCAGGTACAAGCCAGGGATTGCACCGAGCAAGTCTTGCTGCCTCCCAGAACTCCTGTAATGAATGTCCCCTTTGCCTGAGAAACAGTCCAGTCCTAGAGCCAGTGCTGGGAGCTATCCTATGCCATGAGGAGATTTTCCTGCTGCAACAGGCTAGCTGTTCTCTTTGCCTCTGCTTACCCTGACTGCCAACTAGCCACAGCGACTGTCAGTCATAACGCATCATTTTAATTACATTGTTAACTGCTTTATAAATCATGGTTTTAAAATACAAGTGATTTCAGTGGGTTTGTGCAACGAAGGACAGTTTGGAATTCCTGATCCAAGACCACTGCTGGGCCAAGGGGAACAGAATTCTTCTCTCTTTGTTTTTGGCTTGAATTATCTGTAGGGTTAAGAGGGAGTGGTGGGCAAGGTAATTTCTCCTCCGCCATACATTGAAATCCTTACACATGAGCCTAGTGAGGAGAACAAGTCCCCTCACCAAGTTGGTTCTCTTGGTGACCAGAGGCCGATGACTCGGAGGGAACCAGAATTACAGAGGCAGGCAGCTACTGAGGTACAGAGAATTGATGGCTCAAATGTCCTGGAGCTCTGGGCCTGGGGTGGAGGCTTACCAGTCTGAATCCCAAAGAACCTTGGCTGCCTTTTTGGGTCTGGATGGGGGGTGGGGGGTAGTTGGTGCACAATCCCTGGGAGCTTGGTTAAAGACGTGTGTTGTCATGAGCGAGCAGGGAAAGGGCTTGGTCTGCTTTGCTATCTCCCAGCCCTGGCAGGGCTGAGCTCACACGCGGTTGTAGGGACATGGCCCTGTCCCAGCAGCTCTTCTGTTCTCACCCTTCTTCTTCCCGGCGACCCAGCCCCACATGTACATTGACACAAACCCAGCAGTGACTGCCGTCTCTAAGGGCTAACTTTCTGCTGCCAAGGTCTATTGCTACCTTGAAGGACCAGGGCAACCACAGGAGAATTCTCAATATAAAGCTACCTCGGACATAAAGGCTGCTATCTCCCAACCCCATCTTCCATTGACTCACCCTCTGTGCCCCCCTCGCTGCAGCATGGACCCTCCCTGCTTCCTGCCAGCTCTCGGGAGTAGAATCCATTAAGGAGCATTGGCCTTCCATTCAAAAGTTACTTCTGTCCCAGCCCACCTCCCTCCAAGCTGGGAAGTCTCTTCGGAGACCGGGGGACCCAACCAGCCAGTACCTTTATGCAGTTCTTCCCTTTAACAGCAGATTTGGAATTCCTGGCGCTTTGTCCCCTGGCCCAACATCTGTGTCCAGGAGAGGGCTGGAGGCCCACTGGGAGGACCATGTGGGCCAAGGCAATGGTTCCACCAGGTTTGATGAGCCAGTCAGAGCCATGCTAAGCTTGTCTATAGTGGAAGACGCTCTTCGCACAATGCGTTCCTGCACCCTGTTCTCACTCCCTCTTTTTCTCCTGGTCCCAGCCCATTGCAGCATGGATTGGGGGGACAGGGGAGAAGAGGAGTTGTAGCTCAGGGGATCACAGACAGCTCCCATCCCAGGAGACCAACGCCAGCTCAGGAGCCCTCCCAAACCCCACCATGACTAGAATGGCATCCCCCAGTGAAATACTGAGACCCCCCACACATACACAAACACACACACCCTCCCTCCGCCAGCCTCCTTTCCCCCTCCCCCCTCCCTCCAGCCTTTCCCAGCTGTTGCCAATTCCCAGCTGGTTTAGTGCCGACACCCTTTGCTGCATGGACTCCTTCTGCTATCGCACCCATTGTCTGTCGTTCCTACCCCCACCCTAGAGCACAGCCACTGGAGTGCTGGGCTGAGTCCTCCCAACTGAGCGCTTTTTCTGATGCCTCAGGCTTGGGGCGGGAAGGCTGGGGACTCCCTGGCTGAAAAGCAACACATGAATCCTGCCTTGTGAAGGGAACCAGGAAATGGGCAGGAGAGACAGTCCATCCTTCTGGCCATATCACACTTCAAGGCACCAGGCCTGTTAGCAAATGCTTTTCAGTGGTCCAATTCCTCACCCCATCCATGCCCGGGGCAGCTTGGTGAAAAGCTCCTGACCCATAATGACCTACCTTCCTTCTTAGGAACAAAGCTCCAAGGCAGAGTCACCTGGCACTCCAGCTAGCTACACACCCAGCCCTCATCTGGCTTTGGCAGGGTCTAAGTGGGCCTTCTGGGCTGACAAAAACACATAGACCCCCCAGCAGGCAAGCCAAAGAGAACAGAAAACGTTGCTCCTGGCCTGCTGGGATAGACGTTTCTTTCACGCCCACCTTGTCGCTCAACTAACCCTTTTTAAAAATCTTTTCCCTCTCCACCCTCTTCCTTTCCCATGATTCTAAGCAGAGCACTCGGCTCCAAGCAGTGGGGGGGGGGGGGGGGAACAGACCACAACAGGCTTTGAGATTCCAATTGAGTCCAATTACTTTGAATGAGTCTCATTTTGATGTCCTTGTAGCATAAGCGAGATGAATGGATGGTAACTCTGTAGCTCTGTAGTTAATGATATGCTGCTTAGACTGAAATAAAGCACAGTCCAGTGGGGTTTTGCCTGGTTGTTTCATGTGGGGGTCTCTTATTAATCTGTGTGTCTTCATCCATCTGCAGGACACAGCTGGCCCTGGGCCCTGGTGCCATTGGCATTAAAGCCCTGGGATGTTTCTCATGGTCACGATGCCCCAAGCCAGAGCTAGCCATTTGCTCTCCTAATTTCATTTGTCCTGTATGTCCCACATGGCAGTGCTGATGCTTTCTGCTCCACTCCAGGTCTGTCACGGAGCATTCCAAGTCAGCAGCCGCAAAGGGCAGGTTCTGATTTATTGGGACAGGGAGACACAGGGGATGGAAACAAGATCCCAGGTCTTTCCAGGACAGCTCTTCCCGCTTCCAAGCAGCTGCAGTGACTCCAGCCAGCGGGCTCTCTCTCCCCACACACCGCATGGCTCCGAGCTGATGGCAGGAGCACTGGTCTCTCCCCAAGCAAGGCCATGTTTTCTTCTTCAGTAAGCCTGGCAATTGGGTCTTTTCTAGGGAGCGGCTGTTGGGGCAGGGTGGTGCCTTGGGGTGGCCTGAGTTTTCCAGACTGGCCTCTGCTTTTGGAACCCTCCATTTTGGCAGGGCAGGGGTGTAGACCAGAGGTGGGCAAACTTTTTGGCCCGAGGGCCACATCGGGGTTACGAAAAGGTATGGAGGGCCGGGTAGGGAGGCCTGTGCCCCCCAAAACAGACTGGCCCCCCACCCCCTCCCACTTTCCGCCCCCTGACTGCCTCCCTCAGAGCCCAGCCCACCCGCTCCTTGTCCCCTGATTGCCTCCTGCCAGGACCTCCCCTCCCGCTGTCCCCCCTTGGACCCCCCCCACCTGCCCCCCCCTCCACTCCCTGACCCTGACTGCCCCGACCCCTATCCACACCCCCACCCCCTGATAGGCCACCGGGACGACCACACCCTATTCAACCTCCCCTTTCCCCATCCCCTGACCGCCCCACCCCCGAACCTCCACCCCATCCAACCGCCCCCCTGACTGCCTCCCAGGACCCCCTGCCCCTTATCCAACCCCCCTGCTCTCTGCCCCTTACCATGCCGCTCAGAGTGGCAGGACTGGCTTATTAGAAAGGTGGGAGGTGGGCGGGCGCCAGCCGCACTGCCCGGCAGGAGCGGCTGGCCAGAGTGGTCCCCGCACGGCGGTGTGGCTGCGGGGGAGGGGCCGGGGCGAGCCTCCCGGCCGGGAGCTCAGGGGCCAGGCAGGACAGTCCCGCGGGCCGTAGTTTGCCCACCTCTGCCTTAGTGGCTGCTGCTGTGCCGTTCACTCTGTACAGCTGCCCACTGCCACCACTGCGCTGCCGGGCCCTGCGCTGTCAGCCGCTCCACAGCCGCTCCACAGCCACCGACTCCACCACTGCCCTCTAGTGCAACCTCTGGGATGTTCTGAGGTCCCACCGCTTAGCACAGCTCTCAGTGATTTCAACAGTTAGTGGGGGAGCCCCACTGCAGACTGGGCAGTTTTTTTCACCAGAGATACTGTCCCCATAGCAGGCCTAAAGCTTAGCACTTAGACCTGACTAACACTGATTTCAGATTCAGTGATCCACAAGAGCTTCTCAATTAAATCTTAATCAGCTCTATTATTAAACAAGAAAAAATCAAATAGCAGATAGGACCCTTAAAGTAAAAGTAAAATAAAGTAAAGTGAGTGCATGCATGCATGCGTACGTGCATGCATACTCCCTGCCTCATCTCCACTGGCCTCTGGCACCCCGTCCCCTGCTTAGCAAGTGCAGTTCAGTTGGGGGTGAACCTCTGATTCAGGACATGCCAAGCTCAGTTCTGCTCCCCTTGATTCACACAAGGATAACAACCCCTGAACCCAATAACAAAGGGACTTGCCATCCAACCCCAGCCAAAAGTGATCATTTGGGCCAAGCGGCTCCATCATGCTGCGCACCTAGGCAGAGTGGGCGTGTCTATGCATACAAGGGCGGTTCCTGAGGTCTTCTCCCCCAGCTCATCACTGGATGTCAGGAGAAAGCTCATTCAGACCCTGCTTACAGAGAGAAATGCTGAGAATGCATTCATAGGATGAAAATGCAGGACAGCAGCGTAGCCTTTTGGTGAATGACTCAGTTCTAAGAGCAAGGACTGTGCTGTGATTGGTTCCTGCAGTTCTTCACAAACCAGCTCCGCACTGCCCACAAAACCTTACTGCAGGGGAGGGGCTTTCCAAGGGCACATTTGGCCTACCCTGATCACAGTCTGTCCCTGCAATATCATAGAATCATAGAATCATAGAATATCAGGGTTGGAAGGGACCTCAGGAGGTCATCTAGTCCAACACCCTGCTCAAAGCAGGACCAATCCCCAATTAAATCATCCCAGCCAGGGCTTTGTCAAGCCTGACCTTAAAAACTTCTAAGGAAGGAGATTCTACCACCTCCCTAGGTAACGCATTCCAGTGTTTCACCACCCTCCTAGTGAAAAAGTTTTTCCTAATATCCAACCTAAACCTCCCCCACTGCAACTTGAGACCATTACTCCTTGTCCTGTCCTCTTCTACCACTGAGAATAGTCTAGAACCATCCTCTCTGGAACCACCTCTCAGGTAGTTGAAAGCAGCTATCAAATCCCCCCTCATTCTTCTCTTCTGCAGACTAAACAATCCCAGTTCCCTCAGCCTCTCCTCATAAGTCATGTGTTCCAAACCCCTAATCATTTTTGTTGCCCTTCGCTGGACTCTCTCCAATTTCTCCACATCCTTCTTGTAGTGTGGGGCCCAAAACTGGACACAGTACTCCAGATGAGGCCTCACCAATGTCGAATAGAGGGGGACGATCACGTCCCTCGATCTGCTCGCTATGCCCCTACTTATACATCCCAAAATGCCATTGGCCTTCTTGGCAACAAGGGCACACTGCTGACTCATATCCAGCTTCTCGTCCACTGTCACCCCTAGGTCCTTTTCCGCAGAACTGCTGCCTAGCCGTTCGGTCCCTAGTCTGTAGCTGTGCATTGGGTTCTTCCGTCCTAAGTGCAGGACCCTGCACTTATCCTTATTGAACCTCATCAGATTTCTTTTGGCCCAATCCTCCAATTTGTCTAGGTCCCTCTGTATCCTATCCCTGCCCTCCAGCGTATCTATCACTCCTCCCAGTTTAGTATCATCCGCAAATTTGCTGAGAGTGCAATCCACACCATCCTCCAGATCATTTATGAAGATATTGAACAAAACCGGCCCCAGGACCGACCCCTGGGGCACTCCACTTGACACCGGCTGCCAACTAGACATGGAGCCATTGATCACTACCCGTTGAGCCCGACAATCTAGCCAGCTTTCTACCCACCTTATAGTGCATTCATCCAGCCCATACTTCCTTAACTTGCTGACAAGAATACTGTGGGAGACCGTGTCAGAAGCTTTGCTAAAGTCAAGAAACAATACATCCACTGCTTTCCCTTCATCCACAGAACCAGTAATCTCATCATAAAAGGCGATTAGATTAGTCAGGCATGACCTTCCCTTGGTGAATCCATGCTGGCTGTTCCTGATCACCTTCCTCTCATGCAAGTGCTTCAGGATTGATTCTTTGAGGACCTGCTCCATGATTTTTCCAGGGACTGAGGTGAGGCTGACTGGCCTGTAGTTCCCAGGATCCTCCTTCTTCCCTTTTTTAAAGATTGGCACTACATTAGCCTTTTTCCAGTCATCCGGGACTTCCCCGGTTCGCCACGAGTTTTCAAAGATAATGGCCAATGGCTCTGCAATCACAGCCGCCAATTCCTTCAGCACTCTCGGATGCAACTCGTCCGGCCCCATGGACTTGTGCACATCCAGCTTTTCTAAATAGTCCCTAACCATCTCTATCTCCACAGAGGGCTGGTCATCTCTTCCCCATTTTGTGATGCCCAGCGCAGCAGTCTGGGAGCTGACCTTGTTAGTGAAGACAGAGGCAAAAAAAGCATTGAGTACATTAGCTTTTTCCACATCCTCTGTCACTAGGTTGCCTCCCTCATTCAGTAAGGGGCCCACACTTTCCTTGGCTTTCTTCTTGTTGCCAACATACCTGAAGAAACTCTTCTTGTTACTCTTGACATCTCTTGCTAGCTGCAGCTCCAGGTGCGATTTGGCCCTCCTGATATCATTCCTACATGCCCGAGCAATATTTTTATACTCTTCCCTGCTCATATGTCCAACCTTACACTTCTTGTAAGCTTCTTTTTTATGTTTAAGATCCGCTAGGATTTCACTATTAAGCCAAGCTGGTCGCCTGCCATATTTACTATTCTTTCGACTCATCGGGATGGTTTGTCCCTGTAACCTCAACAGGGATTCCTTGAAATACAGCCAGCTCTCCTGGACTCCTTTCCCCTTCAAGTTAGTCCCCGAGGGGATCCTGGCCATCCGTTCCCTGAGAGAGTCGAAGTCTGCTTTCCTGAAGTCCAGGGTCCGTATCCTGCTGCTTACCTTTCTTCCCTGCGTCAGGATCCTGAACTCAACCAACTCATGGTCACTGCCTCCCAGATTCCCATCCACTTTTGCTTCCCCCACTAATTCTACCCGGTTTGTGAGCAGCAGTTCAAGAAAAGCGCCCCCCCTAGTTGGCTCCTCTAGCACTTGCGCCAGGAAATTGTCCCCTACGCTTTCCAAAAACTTCCTGGATTGTCTATGCACTGCTGTATTGCTCTCCCAGCAGATATCAGGAAAATTAAAGTCACCCATGAGAATCAGGGCATGCGATCTAGTAGCTTCCGTGAGTTGCTGGAAGAAAGCCTCATCTACCTCATCCCCCTGGTCCGGTGGTCTATAGCAGACTCCCACCACTACATCACTCTTGTTGCACACACTTCTAAACTTAATCCAGAGACACTCAGGTTTTTCTACAGTTTCGTACCGGAGCTCTGAGCAGTCATACTGATCCCTTACATACAGTGCTACTCCCCCACCTTTTCTGCCCTGCCTGTCCTTCCTGAACAGTTTATAACCATCCATGACAGTACTCCAGTCATGTGAGTTATCCCACCAAGTCTCTGTTATTCCAATCACGTCATAGTTCCTTGACATCACC